GCCAATCTGAAACTAGGAGCCAGGTGCTTCCTCCTGGTCTCCCATGTGGGTACAGGGCCCAAGCACCTGGGCCATCCTCCACTGCCTTCCCGGGCCACAGCAGAGAGCTGGACTGCAAGAGGAGCGACCGGGACTAGAACCTGGGGTGCAGGCACCACACATGGAGGATTAGCCTAGTGAGCTGCGGCATTGGCCTTATTCTTCAATTTGTTAATGTGATGTATGACATTGATGTGATTTGCAAATGTTGAGCCATCCCTGCATATCGGAGATAACTCCCATTTGGTCTGGGTGGATGATCTTTCTGATAAGTTGTTGGATTCAATTTTCTAGAATTTTGTTGAGCATTTTTACATCTATCTTCATCAGGGAAATTGGTCTGTAATTCTTTGTTGCATCTGTTTTTTAGGTTTAGGAATTAAGGTGAGGCTGGCTTTGGAGAAAGAATGAATCTAGGAGGATTCCCTCTCTTTAAATTGTTTTGAATAACTGGATAATAATTGGAGTTAGTTCTTTAAATGTCTGGTAGAATTCAGTAATGAACCCATCTGCTCCTGGACGTTTCCTTGCTGGGAGAGTCTTTATTACTGATTCAATTTCCGTCTTGGTTATGGGTCTGTTTAGGTTTTCTGTGTCTTCATGGCTCAATTTAGGTAGGTTATATGTGTCCAGGAATCTATCCATTTCTTCTAGGTTTCCCAGTTTGTTGGCATACAACTCTTTGCAGTGGTTTCTGATGATTCTTTTTATTTCTGTGGTATCTGTTGTTACATTTTTTTTCATCTTTAATTTTACTCATTTGGTCTTCTCTCTCCTTTTTTTGGTTATTTGGGGCAATGGTGTGTCAATTTTGTTTGTTTTTTCAAAAAACCAGCTCTTTTTTTTTTTTTTTTTTTGCTAATCTTTTTTTTCTTGATTCATATTCTTGATTTTATTCTCTAATTATTTTCTCCTACTAGTTTTGGGTTTGGTTTGCTGTTATTTTTATAGATCCTTGAGATTCATTGATAGCTCATTTATTTGGTGCCTTTCCAATTTCTTGATGTAGGCACAATTGCTATAACACTGCTTTTGTTGTATCCATACATTTTGAAATGTTGTATTGTCATCCTCATTTTTTTCCAGAAATTTTTGATTTCTTCTGTGACCCACTTTTCATTCAGGAGCATGTTGTTCAGTCTTCATGTATTTACATATGTTCTGAGATTCCTGAGTTGCTGATTTCTAGCTTCATTTCATTGTGGTCTAAGTAGATGCATGGTATGATTTCGATTTTTTTGAATTTGCTAAGACTTGCGTTATGGCCTAGTATGTGGTTAGTTTAGAGAAAGTTCCATGTACTGATGAGAAGAATGTGAATTCTTCAACTATAGGATGAAAAGTTCTGTAGATCTGTTAGGTACATTTGGTATATAGTGTCTATTAAGTCTGCTCTTTCCATGCTGATTTTCTGATTGATCTGTCCATTACAATGCTAAATTTTATATACCTAAAAACAGATTCAATGTACATAAAACAAGAAAGCCTGATAGAACTGCATGAGAAGTAAATCTAGAATTAAAGTTGGAAATTTCAACACATCCCATCAGTAATTGATAAAATAAGTAGGTAGAATACTGGTAAGGATATAAAATATCCTATTAACTAACTTAATTGACATTTATAGAACATTATCCAACAACATTAATGTGTAAATTCTTTCAGGTACACACTGACCATTTATAAAGGAAGATCATGTTCTGGGCATAAAGCTAACATCAATAAATCTCATAAGGTTAAAACCACGTAAAGTGTGTTCTGTGACCACAATAGAATTGTTAGAAGTCAATAACAGAAAAATTTAATTCTTCAAACACATAGAAATTAAATGTATTTTTAAAAATAACCCATGGCTCTGAGGAAATAACAAAAAACTTTCAAAGTAAATTTAAGTGAATTAATAAAAAATCAAACCTAGGGAGATGCTGTGAAGAATTAAAGTAAATATAATTGGTGGATCACTAATGGAATCTTTATTTACATTAATTTAATCAGGGCACATTGTATTGAAACCGTTCTCTAAGGTTCATAGAATAACTATAATGCAGTACACACAAGAACAATTTTTTAAGGCTCATATAGTTTAAAATAATTAGAGTTCCTGGAAGCTAGTTAAACTCAATCTTGTTATTTTAATTTCGATTTTTACATCTCAGTCTCAAAACATACAGGCAAAAGAGAGCACTTAATTTATTAAGTTTCTTTGCATAGTTAAGAATGTAACTAGTAAACATAATGTACAGTATTCAAATAATGATAGAAACTCAGATTTGAGGGATCACATAGATAAGACCATTGTCTAATAATTGATAGAATTAAAAAGGAGAGAATGATCCAACATGGAAAGTGGGATACACCGCAGACTCATAGAATGACAACTGCCCTAAACAGCACTCTGGCCTGAGAATCAGCCCTTAAGGCATTCAGATCTGGCTAAAATGCCCATGAGAGTTTCTCAGGCATGGAAAGCCAAGACACTGTGGCAAAAAAGGACCTAAATGAAAGATCTCTGTGAGTGAGATCCCGGTGGAAAGAAGTGGCCATCAAAGAAGGAGGTACCTTTTTCTGAAGGGAGGAGAGAACTTCCACTTTGACTATGAGCTTGTATAAATTATATCGGAGTTAGCTTATAAACATTTTTCCATATCATTATTCTTCATAAGTTTTATTATATAGATATTCCATAATAATTTAAATTTGTATCTAATTTCTGATAATTTTAAATGAGCAAGTCATATGTAATTATCTCTTTCCTTAATTTAAAAGTAAATTTACTTAATTTAAAAGTAAAAGTAAAAATTTTTAATTCTTTGACATTTTTTATCAAATTATTTTATAGAAATATTATAGCAGTATATATTCCTACCACAATCTTGTCCATGCTGCATTCTTATCAAGATTTTATCATCACTTCTCCTTTTGCTATTCTGAGATGTTTAACAAAAGAAACTTGTTCCAAGCTTACTTATTTTTTAAAAAAAAATATTTACTTGAAATGCATATAACAGCAAGGAGGGCAGGGAAGGAGAGAGAATCTTCCTTCAGCTGGTTCACTCCCCAAAGGGCTACAACATCCAGGTTTGAGCCAGGCTGAAGCCAGTAAGCTCCATCCTGGTTTCCCATGGTACTTGGAGCGTCATTGTCTGCCTTCCGGGACAATTCAGCTGGCATCACAAGCAGCATCTTTTTTTTTTTTTTTTTTTTTTTTGACAGGCAGAGTGGACAGTGAGACCGGTGCACCACGCTGATCCGATGGCAGGAGCCAGGTACTTATCCTGGTCTCCCATGGGGTGCAGGGCCCAAGCACTTGGGCCATCCTCCACTGCACTCCCTGGCCACAGCAGAGAGCTGGCCTGGAAGAGGGGCAACCGGGAAAGAATCTGGCGCCCCGACCAGGACTAGAACCCGGTGTGCCGGCACTGCAGGCGGAAGATTAGCCTAGTGAGCTGTGGCACCAGCTACAAGCAGCATCTTAATCCGCTGCACTACAATACTGGTCCTTTCTAATTGAGGATATCTTTTTTGTTTCAATAAACAGTTTGCCATTGTGTTGATAGTATTACAATTCAAACATTTTCCACATGTAGTTTTAGTGATTTTATTTGTATTTTTCTATATATAAAATTTTTAATAATCTAAAAAAAATAATCTAACATTTTCCATTTTAACCTTTTTTCCCTTGTCGTGATTTTCTTATTCCCATAAATCTATGGGATAACTTTCTATTATGAAAGCTAATGGCATAGATTTAGGTTAGAATGTGATTTGAAGATTGAACTTTTTTTCACACATCTATTTTATCCACCACTTATTGAGTACTTTTTTTCATTGCCTGATGATCTGCCATGCTATCTTCATCTTCACACTGTGTTAAATTCTAAATGTTTTACTCATGTCTGAACACTTGAAAGAAAAAATTCTTTGTTGGGTCTAATTAAATTTACTGCATTCATTTGAGTTTCTCAAAGTTGTTGATTAGTTAAAATAATCATTTAAATTCTCATCTGTTTAATTAATTTCCTTGCTTGTATAGCCAATAACTTCAGCCTCTCTATTTCCTTAAAAGTCTTAATGTAGAAAGTATGTAAATGTAAAAGTCTATGTAGAAGAGGTAGAGAACATTTTGAAGTAGTAGTTTCTGAAAATAAGATACGGGTGGTCAATATAGTGTCTGAACTCTATCCTATGTAAAAGTAATACTTAGTTGTATTATAATTGAATTGTGTTAATTAGACATTCTTAAGAGAACAGTATTTCCCTTTAGAGTTATCTGTATATTGGTCCATAAAAATATTTCATCAGTTATTTGTATATATATCTCCTCTAACTATAGAATATACATTCAGTAAATACTTTACATGCAGTAAATACTTTGGAGTGAGTTCATACATTCTATTTCATAAACACCAGGTTTTTGTTTTCTTTTTTTTTAACTTTTATTTAATGAATATAAATTTCCAAAGTACAGCTTATGGATTACAATGGCTTCCCCCCCCCAATAACTTCCCTCCCACTCGCAACCCTCCCCTTTCCCACTCCCTCTCCCCTTCCATTCACATCAAGATTCATTTTCGATCCTCTTTATATACAGAAGATCAGTTTAGCATACATTAAGTAAAGATTTCAACAGTTTGCTCCCACACTGAAACATAAAGTGAAAAATACTGTTTGAGTACTAGTTATAGCATTAAATCTCAATGTACAGCACACTAAGGACAGAGATCCTACATGAGGAGTAAGTGCACAGTGACTCCTGTTGTTGACTTAACAAATTGACACTCTTGTTCATGGCATCAGTAATCACCCTAGGCTCTTGTCATGAGCTGCCAAGGCTATGGAAGCCTTTTGAGTTCACCGACTCTGATAATATTTAGACAAGGCCATGGTCAAAGTGGAAGTTCTCTCCTCCCTTCAGAGAAAGGTACCTCCTTCTTTGATGACCCATTCTTTCCACTGGGATCTCACTCACAGAGATCTTTCATTTAGGTTTTTTTTTTTTTTTTTCCTCAGAGTGTCTTGGCTTTCCATGCCTGAAATAGTCTCATGGGCTTTTCAGCCGGATCCGCATGCCTTAAGGGCTGATTCTGAGGCCAGAGTGCTGTTTAGGACATCTGCCATTCTATGGGTCTGCTGTGTATCTCACTTCCCATGTTGGATTGTTCTCTCCCTTTTTTATTCTATCAGCTAGTATTTGCAGACACTAGTCTTGTTTATGTGATCCCTTTGGTTCTTAGTCCTATCATTATGATCAATTGTGAACAGAAATTGATCACTGGGACTAGTGAGATGGCATTGGTACATGCCACCTTGATGGGATTGAATTGGAATCCCCTGGTATGTTTCTAACTCTACCATTTGGGGCAAGTCAGCTTGAGCATGTCCCAAATTGCACATCTCTTCCCTCTCTTATTCCTACTCTTATATTTAACAGCGATCACTTTTCAGTTAAGTTTCAGCACTTAAGAATAATTGTGTATTGATTACAGTATTCAACCAAAAGTATTAAGTAGAACCAAAAAATATTAAGAGGGATAACATATTAAGTTGTTACCAAGTTTTTTTTAAAGGTAAAGTATTTCAATATTTTAAAACAATACTATATAACCTTGGAGAGTCATTTTATTTATGGTATAATATTATCTTTGATACTAGATGATCTCTGTTGTACGTTTCAGTTTAGAACCATAGGAAGTAACAGTTTTAAGTTGTGTGTGTATAATGTTCAAGAAACCATCTGGACCATTTATTCGATTCTATTAGATATTTGCTTATCTCACTATAAACATATTATGCCTCATTTTCATAATTATAGAGTCTCATAGGAGAGACTAGAGGTATATTAGGTTTACACCCAAACCTTTGGGGAATAATAGTGCTACAGTACATGAAACCCATTTTTTTAAAGACTGAATTATTTTATTTGACAGTCAAGAGTTACACAAAAAGAAGTAGAGGCAGAGAGAAGTGTTCCATCTGCTGGATCACTCCTGAATTGCCCGTAGTGGCCAGAGCTGTGCGGATCTGGAGCCAGGAGCTTCCTCTGGGTCTTCTCACGTAGGTGCAGGGTCTCAAGGACTTGGGCCATCTTCCACAACTTTCTCAGGCCATAGCAGAGAGCTGGATCAGAAGTGGAGCAGCCGGGACTTGAATTGGCACCCATATGGGATGCCAGCACTGCAGGCACCAGCTTTATCCACTATACTGGCCCCGAATCACATCCTTTTTATGATAGCAGTAAATAAGCACATTTTTCATGAACTTTAAAAGTCATGCAAAGTGTAGTACTGATGGGAATTTTGTGAATTTTTAATAGTTAATATTGCTGTAGTGCCATCTTGATGTTCCAGCAGAAAGATTTATGCAGAAACCATCAATCTCTTACAGCACCTGTAGGAAATAATTCAAAAAAATAAATCACTTAAGGTTGCCTGAGTTTATTTCCTAGCTCTAATAACTGTATAGTCCTCTAACAAGACCCTTAATCTCAGTGTCCATCTAATTTCTTCATTTGTAAAATGGGATATGAATGTGTAGGGTTCAGATAAGGGTGAACTCAATGAATATGTGCAAAGTACGTGTTAAGTGTTACACAAGACTGATGTTTTTAGTTTCAAGTGACTTTTTTATACTTATTAAACATACTTATGTGAATGTATAGTTTTCCAAATGGAGTATAGGTTGATTTATAAGGTGGCAGAGAAGTAGAAATGAAGTATTTGTTCTTGGACATTAACATCCACTGTAATACTTGATTTGTAGATTGACTATCAGATCTGGAGCCCTAATTCAGTTTGCATTGCCAAGATGTAGGGACACTGAGGAATCTCCAGTTGGACCCAGATGCTCAGTATCTCCTGATCATTGCTAGATTTGTTGGCCCAAACTGAAATACTGTGTAGAAGATTAATTTCCAGATTTTTTACTTTTAATTTTGAAATTTTATCAGCAAAAAATTGTACAAGGAAGCTTATTTGTGATAGATGGATGTCAGATAGATGGATGTCATGTTACTATGTCAGACTTCGATGTAAAGTGGTGAATTTTTTTTCTAGACAAAATTTTAAAGCATTTCGGAACTATATCAATCTCTTGTTGAAAATGAGTTAAGCATAATAATTTTTAATTATTTACTTTTCCTTCATCCTCATCTAGAACTGGGTAGATAAAGCTGAAAAACAGACTCTTCTCTCCGATACACTTGACCTATCAGAACTCTTCCACCCAGACACATTTCTTAATGCTCTTCGTCAAGAAACTGCAAGGTAACTAAAATGAAGTGCTTATTTGTCACTGAGAGTAATTATATTTTTTGTATCATTCACTTGAGATCCCATTGATTTGTCAAGAAATAAAATTTTAATTTAAAAATTGCTTCTACTTATGTATATTTTTAGAATTGAAAAAATTAAACTTTTATATTTTGGACATTTATCTAGACCCGTGATGTGTCCCATAAGGTAGCATAAATCACATGGGACTATCTATTTAAATTAAATAACTGGTTTCTCAGTCACATTTTCAGTGTTCAGTTTCTTTATGTGAATAATGTCTACCATTTTGGATCGCATGAAAACATTTTTATCTGCAGAAAATTCTTTAGCATAATGCTGACTGAACTTCTTAAAAACTTTTGGTACTATACTTTGGATTATACCATATACAGACTAATTTTTAACAAGTTAGAATGTAATGAAAGACACACCACCAAAAATATACTGAGCAAATTTAATTATTTAGTGACACAGTGATTTGAATTTATGCTGTCTCTGGATATAAATACTAATATTCCAGCTCAGTTAACAAACACTTTATGAATACTTTATACTGCATTTGAGGATTCTGGTCCAAATGGAGGATGTTAAAATGAAAAAGGTTTTATATTTAAGAAAAACAGTGCTTTATAAATTTAGTGTGAAGTTATGATACTGTTGCATAATATTATATTCACTTTGTAAATATTTCAGCTTAAAATAGGTGATTATGTGCAATTACTCTTCATGTTTTAACTGCTGAGAATTACATCTTTATGACATTTGGTGCTTTACTTTTACAGGGCAATGGGTCACTCTGTGGATAGCCTTAAATTTGTAGCCTCATGGAAAGGTCGACTTCAAGAAGCAAAGCTGCAAATTAAGGTAATAAGTTTAATCTTTATCTGATTCAAAAGTTTTCTCACCTCTGAGATAGAAGATTCTGAAACTGATCAAGTCACCATCTGTATTGTGTAAGATTGGCAGAGATAGATTCTATTAAATTTGTGAGAAATCAAAGTTAAGATTTAGCCGGAGGGGTCAGTGTTGTGGCATAGCCTGCAACACTGGCATCCCATATGGTGCTGGTTCAAGTCCTGCCTACTCCCTGCTGGTGGCCTGGGAAAAGCAGTGGGAAATGGTCCAGGTGCTTGGGTCCCTGACCACCCACATGGGAGACCTGCGAGAAGCTGCTAGTTTCAGCCCGACCCTGCCCCAGCCATTGAGACCATCTTGGGGATGAACTAGCAGATGGAATATCTCACACTCTTTCAAATCAATACATGAATCTTTACAAAAACTATTTAGCATGAAACAGCTTATAATACAAAACAGAAATCATCTTAGGGATACAATATTTGAAAAAGGTAACTTCTTAAAAAAACATTTATACAGATTACACAGTTCTTTTGGGTTACTGTTCAAAATTCAAAGATTTATTACACAATAAAGTATGCATAAAAGCTATTAGGAGAGTGCTTCAAAAAGTTCGTAGAAAAAATGGAGTTAAAGTTTCGGGGTGGGCATGTAGCGTAGCGAGCAAAATGCTATATCCCGTATCAGAGTGCCTGGATTAGAGTTAAGAGTGGAGCAGGGGCCAGAGTCACAGCTCACTGGGCTGGTCCTCTGCCTGCAGCACCGGTACCCCAGGTTCTAGTCCCGGTTGGGGCGCCGGATTCTGTCCCAGTTGCTTCTCTTCCAGTCCAGCTCTCTGCTGTGGCCTGGGAAGGCAGTGGAGGATGGCCCAAGTGCTTGGGCCCTGCACCCGCGTGGGAGACCAGGAGAAGCACCTGGCTTCTGGCTTTGGATGGGCGCAGCGCGCCGGCCGTGGCAGCCATTTTGGGGGAGAACCAACAGAGGGAGGACCTTTCTCTCTGTCTCACTAATTCTGTCTGTTTAAAAAAAAAAAAACAAAAAAACAAAAAAAAAAAAACAAAACTTCCTGCTAATGGAAGATAGCAGGTGATGGCTCAAATGGTTGGGTCCCTGTCACTCACTCCGGATACTTAGACTGGCTATTTTCTGGCTCCTGGTTTTTGCCCAGCCCTGGTCATTGTGGACATCTGGGGAGTTAACTAGTAGATGGCAGCCCTGTTTCTCTCTGCCTTTCAAATAATTTTTAAAAAAACAAAATGGAAAAATTTATTTTGGTGTAAAAAATAGAAACCTATATGAAGTTTTTTGATAATACATATTTTTCATGAACTTTTTAAAGCACCCCAGTATATAAAAAATCATATTTCTATAAAAACCAAACCTTACCCTCGGGAAGTTTATAATTTGTGAGTATATATTAGTTAACTTCAAGACAATCAAACCACTAATGATGATTTCTTTCTTTTATAATGTAAATTTTCCTAGCTGTTTCCTGTTATTCTGACTTTAGTTTTATAATTGACTTTTTTTTTAAATTTTAAAGGTCACAGAAAAATTCTCCCAACGTCTCCAACTTTCTTCCATATCACTATCCTCTATCCAATTCCCAAATGTAGGATTGTCCTTTTAGTATGTTTTGCAGTGCTGATACTTTGTATGATTGTGTAATATATCCATGCTGGCCTGTCTTGAGACTGTGGTGTCACTGAGGACAAATACTTTGGCATGTGCATTTTCCAGTACCCAATGTCTAGTTCACTAAATCACATGTAATTAAGACTGTAGGCAGTTTGATTTTTAGAAGTCCATAAAAATTTGTTTTCATATCACTATACCTAACATCATGCTATATTATTACTTTGTTGTATTACTCCTCTGAGATATATTTCTTGTAGGGGATATCTTTTTTTTTTTTTTTTTTTTTTTTTTACAGGCAAAGTTAGTGAGAGAGAGGGAAAGGTCTTTGTTCTGTTGGTTCACCCCCAATGGTTGCCACGGCTGGCACACTGCGCCAATCTGAAACCAGGAGCCAGGTGCTTCCTCCTGGTCTCCCATGTGGGTGCAGGGCCCAAGCACTTGGGCCATCCTCCACTGCCTTCCCGGGCCACAGCAGAGAGCTGGACTGGAAGAGGAGCAACCAGGACTAGAACCCGGAGTGCCGGCGCCACAGGTAGAGAATTAGCCCAGTGAGCTGCGGCTCTGGCCCTTGTGTGGATATCTTTATCACCATTTTAGATTATGTTTCACATATGAGGGACCAAGACTGACAGTCTTAATTTTCCAGAAAGGAGCCATGTGACCTTTTAAGCCATTAACATAACAGTTTGAGCCTTAGCTATTTGTTATCTTCATGGGTCATCAAATTTATTATTTAAATCCATTTATATTTTGTATAGTTTTTGTGAGTTACTCTTGTATAATATCAAATAAATATTTAGATATGATTTAGGGAGTGGCATTGTGTAGCCTGTAAAGTTGTCACCTGAAATGCTGGCATTGCATATGAGCGCTGGTTCCTGTCCTGGCTGCTCCACTTCCATCCAGTTCCCTGCTAATGGCCTGAGGAAAGCAGCAGAAGATGGCCCAAACTTTAGAACCCCTGACACCCACATTAGTGAGTAGGATGAAGCTCCTGGCTTCAGCTTGGCCCCACGCCAGCCAGTGCTGCCATCTTAGAGTGAATCAGCAGATGTAAGATCTTCCTCTGTTACCTTTCAAAATAAATAAATCTTAAAAAAGAGATAGAATTTAAAAAATAAGCTTAATTTGGTACAAAAAATAAAAAAACCCCTTAATCCATGCAGTGTTTTCATGATACTCATTTTACATGAACTTTTTGAAGTGTGATCAACTTTCAGTTAGGTACTATTTGTGCCTTAATTAGAAGAGAGTATTTTAAAATAAAATTCCAAATATCCCATAAATAATTAAATGATATTAAAATTCCAAATATTAACTTGTAACTATATAGTATACAGTTTGGTATAATGGTCAGATAATAATTGTTATTTTTATTAGTGATAATATTTTCACATATATTTACAAAATAACTGAAAATGCCATTCCTATACATGAGATTTAAGATAATTCAACTGAATTCTTTCTTTGGTCCATTGTGTGGGTTATAAAAGCATATTTCCCAACTTTCTCTTACCTGTAGTTTCCAGATATGTCTATCATGGGAAAAGTTTTTATATATAAACATCTCAGAGATAATACTTGGCAGAATCATAAGTGGTCCATTTGGCTCCTTTAAGTATA